GTGGCTGCAATAACCAGGCAGCTCTACACTTTTTTTCGAAAATGAGATTTTTAATGAATTACTCTTTAAAAAAAATTGGTCGATCGTTTCCTGCAACAATCAGTTCTCCCAATGTAACACATTATAACAGTACATAAATGGCGACTGGCGATGTTAGTTGGAGCTGCCTTGCTTTGGGTTTGCAGCAAGAACCGAGCAGCTCTTTTCAATTTCCCACAAATTTATTAAAATGGAGCTGCCTGGTTATTGCAGTCACCCCTTCAATTGTTTATCGGCAATTCTTAAATACTTTTGTAGTCATAATTACTACAATACGCTCTTAACCAATACCACATATTGCAGAGAAAATTTTCGCATTTAGAAATCGACGCAGACAACTCCAAATGATAGTTTCCTAACCTCAGTTTTCTTATACTGTTTACAGTCCCACTTATGATACTTATTTTTCCGAAATTCGTCAACAATTTTGTCATACTCCATTTTTTCGAGACCGGAACATCCCTTGTGGACCCAAGCATAACATATAGCGCACTCAATTGATGTTTGATTTGCCTTTACAACACGATTACAAATTCCCAGTCCGCTATATTTTCTTTCTCCCTGATGACTTTATAAAATTGTCACAACCTGCCCGACAACGGTTTCAATTACTACGCCAACCATAAGCAGATTTTACTACAACTTTTTGTAGTACTAGGTACTTGCTACAACGTTTCCATTCGGTTTTGCAATGATTGTTGCGAGAGCTTGTTTCTCTGTTTTTTTTTCTCAGGGAAGATTTCGACAGACGATGACAGAAGAAAAGCAGATGACGTCCCATACCAATCTATTTATTTTACTAAAAAAAGTTTCTAATATTTTTTAAGTTAACTATGGATGAGTATAAATATAAATCCGTCATGCGTCGTCTCTTGTTGTTTTTCACCAGTTTTATTGGTTTATTTCAAAAATGACAGATCATATTTCAATTTTATTGGTTTGACGGAACGATGAACGACAAACGGACGCCTATGGGTATGAACTCGCCTTTAGATTTTTGAGGCTTGTCAAAGTCTTGCCAAATTATAGGTTATAATTTTGTGTCAACTTATGTCAAATACCCTGCGTTTTGGAAGATGATGCATTTTGATTCGTGTTATTACGTGTGATTTGTGTCTTTTGAAGTCAAGTGGAGGAAAAATCGAGAGAAAATTAACTGTAGACCCAGAACACAGTTTATAGTTAATATTCGCTGCCCAGGCAGAAAATCTTATACACCAATAGTGTTACCATCAATAAAGTGTGTATACCATCTCGTCGTAGATAAGTGCATCTCGTATATGGTACTAGGATCGTACTAAACATATACTAAAAATTTGAGTAGCTGTAAAATATCGATATCACACAATAGCGAAATAATGGATTTTAGTACTGCAGAAAAATAACGTCAAAAGGTATTGGTTCAAAAAAAAATTAAGATTAGTTAATAATTAATCAACCTTTAAGGTATAAAATTTGGTAAGTGTTATTATTAATAAAATAGTTTGTTTTATTTATGTTGTTTAATTTATTCCTGTGGAATATTACAAATTTGTATTTGTACATAAGTTATATTGATAAATAAATGCGGGAAGTTTCTTGAAGCTTGAAAGTAAGAAATAGGTAGTTCTTTTTTATATTTTTTTGGTATGTGGTGTTTTGTTCTTGTTTGTTTTGTATTAACACATACCGTATTTTTTTAAATAAAATAACTCGATTATATTTTTTCAGTTTTATACAGTTTTTTTTCACAACATTTTGAAGTAATCACTTGTCAGTCAAATTCATGTCAAATTTTAAATATATTAATTTCCTTTTTTTAAAAACCCTTAGTTTAAGCTTTTTTTTTAAAGAGCCATTAAATTTGAAGGTTCACGTATGCATATGCACCTGTTGAGGAACTGCCACTGATATAAACGCATAATTGTTTATACACGATGTCAAATATCGAAATAACGGAAACTTCCGGCATTAGTTACTCCATACCAATTAAATTTTCGCCCGATTTAAGAAACATCCGGTATTAAATACGAAATTATTAAAAATAGCGAAAAGATATATAGAACTGGTCGGTATATATCCATTTGCCAATAATTTCCAACCGTTATGGACCGTTTTTCCTCGTGAACACAAACGAAACCCGATATGACAATAAATATAAATTTTTGCCTCGGTCAGCGCCAGCGAGCGCGTTGGTTCGAACCAACCTCGCAACGAACGGATATCGAATTCCATCAATAAAAGTCGATTTATTATCGACGGACGAAAATCCGAACGGAACGCGGCACTACAGCTCGATCGCTTAACATAAATTTCGGAAAAGAGAAAAAATAGCCCTGTCAAAATAACAATGCCTTTTGTTCTACCACAATTAACAGCTCAGACTTTATTAATACACGATAAAAATATATTTTTATTGACTGAGGTATGTGGTTCTATAACGCCTTTGTCCAGAACAGGGTGCAAAAAAATCTTGAATTTTTTTTAAAAAAATTAAAATTTGATTTTTTTATTTTAATTAGATTTTTTTTTGTTTTAATCGATTTTTTTATTATAATCAATTTTCTATTTATATCGGATTTCTAGCTAATTAACGACTCTTTAGCTAACCTACTCTCACCTTTAGCTAATTTCGACGCTAAGCGTTTCAATTAATAATATAATGCATCTCTCGACTGATAATCACAATAAAAAACAATATTTGATTGTCCCTTGTAGCAGATTTAAAATTATTTTTAGTGTCGAAAAACAATGTATATAAAATTGTACGTTTAATGCAGAAAACGAGTAACAATATTTTCAGTTGCATTAATTCTAAATTATTAATGTATAAAATGGTTCGCGATAATTCGGCCATTTATCAGGCGACATTTTTATTTTGACATTCGAAGTGTCAGGCCAGAAAATTCGGACAGAAATAGATCGTTTAGCGAAATCTTGAACTCTACCTTTAAAACTGAAACAGATATATACAGGGTGATGCAACTTAACAAATATCGGGCATTTCGGGCAGCGTTAAACACAATATTTTTAGTAATTCAATAATTTTTAGATACATAGTATAATTCCTAGTATAGTCCTCATCATCACCATCATTTTCAGCTTATTCAACCATTTCCAATTATGGTGTAGCCTCCCTCACATATTCTCTTTGTAGTTGGGCCCCCATTGATCATGGTCCCATCTCAGGTTCGGTCTTCTTATAGATCTCTTAATTCCTTGTGGGTACTATGCTGTAATTTTTGTGGTCCATCTGTTGTCTGTTCTTCTTGCCAGGTGTCCCGCCCATTGCATTTGAGGGAGTTGACTCTGTGGATGAAATCTATTACCTGGTCTGGTATTGTCGTATCCACTCTATTCTTTTAGTATATGTTCTCCTAATAAATGAATTCCTAGTATAGTAAATGTTCTTTACTCTTTAACCCTCTAGACAGTGTCGTCACTAGAAATTTTGGGTTTCCCCGCAACTTTTGGTATAGTCAAGACTTATCCGATAGTCAGGCAGCACTAAAAATGATCAATTCAGTAACCATCAATTCCAAGTGGGTCAAAGAATGCCTAGACAAGCTGAAAAAAATAGACAAAGAAAATAAAGTCTTCCTACTTTAGGTTGGGTAAAAGCAAACGATCTAGATAGAAATGGAGCAAATACTCCACTAACTGGACCAGAACTGTTCTGTTTCCCAACTAGAAACCAACTTAAAGTGGGACTCAAGAATCTGGAAGACTCCATCCATAAGCTGGAATGGGAATCCTCCAACGGTCTAAGACACTCGAAGAAATTTCTCAGAAATTACGACCGAGAAAAATCAAAGATTTTCCTTGATTTAAGTAAGAACAATCTTCGGATTGTCACGGGGTTTTTATCAGGACACTATCTCCTCATAAACACAGTAGTTTGAAGCTAAGAAACAATGGCGAATGCAGATTCTGTGAGGAAAATGGGAAAACACCAGAATACATACACTTTGTTACGACTGGTATCGGAGATGTAGAACTAACCTATGTAAAACCGTCTCAGATACTGGCTTTTATCAAAGCCTTGAGACTGTATGATTATCAAAGCCTTGAGACTGTATGATGAGTTATAACTCAAGAAAGGGGGTACTTCCTTACATTCTACTAGATGCACTTTCTACATAATTTTTTTTTAAATAAATAGTATTTTTTTAATAATTTAATGCAAATAAAGCTTTAAAGTTTACGCTTTAAAAAATATTCAGAAATTATTATTTCAAGGAATTTATTACGAGTAGAAAAAATATTGTACTGGGTTGGCATTGGTTTCTATGTAGTTTGACAAATAAATAAAGCTGCTCTTTAGTTGTCAGTTTTGAGTCAATATTTTTTAATTGTCTTTCGTGTCGATTGCTGATTGAATTGGAGCCAGAAATGGCTCAAAACGAAATAAGTAAATTACCAACAGATATTCAGGCTGAGGCGACAAACGCCATATCCAAACTACTTCCATTTAAATCCCGAATAACTTATTAAAAGGAATACAAAAATTTTCAAAAATGGAAGCAATTAAAAAACGTTCGAGAAGAAATAAAATTTTTAATCTATCGTCGCTGTTAAAGTATCATTTAATCTACTCTTGCGGTTAAAGTACTATTTTATCTACTATTTTTGATAGATATAAGGCAATTTTAACAGATTGGTCTTAATCTTACAGATCAAACGCTAGTCTCGTTCTTGACCTTATTTTTATTGCAAGACCAAGACCAAGAGCAGTCTTCCTCATCACCATTCTGAACCGAAAAATTAATCTTGCCGTTTTGCAGAAAAGAAAAAGTGACACTACAAAGTACAAATTATTTAAACTCCCATTTTAATTAAGTTTAACATTTTATAACAACCGAAAAACTGGAAAATGGCACGGTTTTGTTTCATGTGCCACCCTGTACACACTTAAATATATAAATAAAACTGTAGAGCTTAAGTAGGCTGTCAGCGAGAGTGAGAATTTATGATTTTTTCAGGATTTGCTGAACGGCGATCTGCACAAAATCAAATTGGAACCAGATGTTGGAAACTATCCGTTGCCGTCCCTTTCCACCAAATTGTCTCTACACACACACGGTAAGTGAAGTGTTGCGAGCCGGCCGGCGCTGATTTACGGTCGGAATTATCGCTTTTTGAGGTCAAACACGGTTAATTTTACGAATAAAATAGTTTTACGAGAGATTAACGTCAACCTAACGGATCATAACTTTCCACTTTGTATAGGAAACGGTTGATTTACGAGGTGTTCGAGTGCTTGAAAGGATTAAGCTAATGGAAATTGCTGCAGTCAGTAGTTTTCCTGGTTTACTAGATACTTGTAAAGCTGAGATTACTCTTACTGAAATTAGTGCAGCAGTCATGTTATATTGTAGGCTTAAATATTGCTATAAAGTTTACCAGACATTTGGATAAAGGTTTTTATCCAACAGCCACTACTTTTATACAGACATTACTCCCTCATTATACATGCATATAAAATAAATAATAACACACGCGTGAGTTTTTGAACTTATACAGAGTTGTTCACCACATACGACACGGAGTATTGTAGCTAAACGATTAGATTTTTACAAATTGTAAGTTTTGGGTTTGTTGAAGGTCTATTAGAGCTACAATTTAAAAATATTTTTACAAGATACAGAGTGTCCCAAATAAGTAAAAAATATTATAGTTGTATTTTTTTAAATGGAACACCCTGTATATTATTCTATTTTTGGATTCTACGATTGAAATAAAGGTAAATTTTATTAAGGTTTATCACACTTAAACCTTACCGTTTTTGAAATATTTTAATTTTATGAAATTGCAGTAAAAAAAAAGGCTTTATTTCTCCTAGAAATCAAAGTTTTTAATACTAAATATCTTCTTGAAGATTATTTATTGATCAGATATTGTGTTGCAATAATAAAATTTACTACCTTTATACAGAGTGTCCAAAAATTTATATTAAATAATTACTAGCTTTAAACGGCAATAACTTGTTTCATTTAAATGGAACACCCTATATATTTTACGTGAATCAGATGCACAATGTAATTGTCTATCAAATTGTATTATACCATTTTTTACCCATCTCTTCAAGTTTTCGTAGAAATTGCATTTTGTTATAATTTAGACCTCATTTATCACTATACCCATGGAATATTGACATTTCAGATTTTTTATAGCACCATAATATGTACAAAATGTACAGGTGGTAAATATTGCATGCCCATTGGCATACAAAAAAACTATTTAAATCTTTGTAAAAGAGTATACCAATTAAATATACCACCATTATTTCCTACCAAAAACACCAAAAATTAGTTAATTGCATACTTTTAAATTGTTTTAATTAATAAATTATTCTAAATAAATGTGGATTTGGCTCAGAAATCAATCAAGTTATAAAAATGAATGTCTCTGTTTTTATAAATAAGCATTCGTCAATAAATGAAATAAAATTTATAAGGTGTTACTTTTTACCACACTGTGTAATACACACACAAAATTCAGTTTTTTAGTATTTGGAACAATTATTACCACAACGTAAACAGTCAATTAATGTAGTTTGAATACTGGGATCATATTAATTGGTCCTCTTTAACAAAAAATATTTAAACAGTTTTTTTTTATTTTTTAATTAAATAAGCGAACTATATCAACAATATTAGTATATGCACCCTTTGAAAATTTGTTACATCTTTAAAAATAAGCTAAAATGTCAATATTCCATGGGTATAGTGATAAATGAGGTCTAAACTATAAGAAAATGCATTTTCTATGAAAACTTGAAGAGATGGGTAAAAAATGGAACAATACAATTTGATAGACAATTACATTATGTATCTGATTCACATATATAGGGTGTTCCATTTAAATTAAACAAGTTATTGCCGTTTAAAGCTAGTAATTATTTAATAAAAAATTTTGGACACTCTGTATTAGGTCGTAACATTTTTATTATTGCAACACAATATATGACCAATAAATAATCTTCAGTAAATATTTAGTATTAAAAAACTTTTATACCCTTTGGAGAAATAAAGCCTTAAATTTTTTTCTGCAATTTCATAAAATTGAAAATATTTCAAAAACGGTAAGTTTTAAGTGTGATAAACCTTAATCAAATTTACCTTTATTTCAATCGTAGAATCCAAAAATAGGATAATATACAGGCTGTTCTATTTAAAAAAATACAATTATAATATTTTTTACTTATTTGGGACACTCTGTATCTTGTAAAAATTATTTTAAATTGTGGCTCTAATTGACCTTCAACGAACCCAAAACTTACAATTTGTGAAAATCTAATCGTTTAGCTACAATACTCCGTGTCGTATATAGTGAACAACCCTGTATAACAAACTAGTGTGTTATAACTTCAAAGTCACACCTATCATACCGCTACGAAACTTTTCTGACAGTATTTGTGCTGTAGCCGCCTAGCCTGGTTAATAATTTCTTGCGGAAGATCTTCCTGAATTATTTTTTCTTTAAAATCTGACTTGCTGGTTGATAATTCACTATTTTATCGTTTAAAAATCGCGATTTATCTAAAGGATGTCTTAAGAAGTGTACAAGATAGCCGTGAACAGGACAACGAAGTGTAAAGGATAGCTTAATAGCCGTAAAAAACTCATCGCAACTTTATTAGAATATTTTGAACGGGAAAGCGGTAGTAAAGGCCTTTTATGTCCCTTAAGTGCTGTTAAGAAGGCGAGTTTTGTTGATGTAAATAATAACTGTTTATATATTTATAATTAATTTATTTTTATTTCCTAAAATATTTTGATTAAAAGAAAATATGTAAAAGTGGACGACGCTGTGTCGGTCACGTGACTAAAAGTTTATTTGGTATGAACTTTGAATAAGAAGACTAAGGAAGGAACATATCGTGAATTAGGTACAATGTAATGGGCCTCAAAAATTGGCCGATTAAATTCCGGTTTTACCAGTCTCTTCTAAGTTTTCGTAAAAATTAAAACTATGATGTAGGGTAGACCTCATTTATCACTCAATAATTTTTTACGTTGTGAATAAATGTTGCTAGTTATTAAAATTGTTATAAAAATATAATTCTAATATAAATAGATAAGTTATAATAAGTATTTAAACACAAACATCCGATACGCTACTTAAGCAGGTAAGTCAAATTCGTATCAAAATTCTTTGACATTGTGATCTTTAACAGTAGTAAACGAAAATAACTAAAATTGCAAGAAAAATATATAATTTAGTTGATTTAAGTGAATTTCATAAATGATCGGTTTACTACACGTATGTACATTATATAGTCATTACTTCGAAAAGTTGTTCCTATCATTTCACTCAAACTTTTCTGCCGAGATCTGTCGCACGCTAGCCCAACTATTTTAGAGTTTTTTTCGATAAATCTTCCTGATAGTGTCACTGTTAATTTAAAATCTGCCACAATTTCCATCTAGATTTACTATTTTATCAACTATCAAAATAGCGAATAATAATAAATAACATAAAATAAATTAGCTCAAGAAAGCCGTGAACAGGACATCAAATCAAATTAAGTGCTGTTAAGAAATGAATCGTCAAACAGAACTGTCAAGGATCCCCACCCTAGAGTGCTTTTATGGCGCTTTTTCCGCCCACCATGCATGAATACATGGATCATTACATGGATAGCATTATGCTCCTTCCTTAGTCTTCTTATTCAAAGGGTATGAACCTTTGAATAAGAAGACCAAGTCCACCTACATCATACCCTATATCCATGTATTCATGCATGGTGGGCAGAAAAAGCTATCTAGGGTGGGGATCCTTGACAGTTCTGTTTGACGATTCATTTGACATATTTGAATTTGATTTGAAATTTTGTGGATTTGTCAGTCTTTACGGAGCTACTTTATTTTATGTTATTTATTATTTATTCTACTACTGATAGTTGTATAAAGGTAGTAAATCTAGATGGAAATTGTGGCAGAACTTAAATTAACAGTGACATTATAGCGATTTATCGAAAAAGAATCTAAAATAGTTGGTTGTGTAGCGTGCGGTAGATCTCGACAAAAATTGAGTGAAATAATGGAACAACTTTTCGCTAGTAAGTGACTATATAATATACATACGTGTAGTAAACCGATCATTTATGAAATTCACTTAAATTAATTATATATTTTCTTGCATTTTAGCTTTTATTTGCTACTTGTCAAAGATCAGATGTCAAAGAATTTTGATACGTTAATTTGACTTACCTGCTTCAGTAGCGTATCGGATGTTTGTGTTAATAAATACTTATTATAACTTATCTATTTTTATTAGAATTATATATTTTTATAACAATTTTAATAACTACCAACATTTATTCACAACGTAAAATAAAATAACAAATTATTGAGTCTACCCCACGTCTACCCTACATCATAGTTTTACATTTTCTAAATAAAATTAGAACGGCACTGATAAACCAGAATTTAAGTCGGCCATATTTGAGGCCCATCGCGGTGTACCTAAGATTTTTGATATGCTCCTTCCTTAGTCTTCTTATTCAAAGGTATGAACTGAATTAAAATAAAAGACAACTGTCACTGTCAATAAAGTTTCAAATAAAAAGACGAAAATCGTTCTGTTTTCTTTTTTATAGTATGTGTAATAAAGTCTAAAAACCATCCGGTTGGTTTGTAAGTCTAAAATTACTGCTTTTTAACACTAAATCACTTAATTTGACAAATAAAATACTTTTATGAGGTACTAAAGTCATAATAACGACCTATAACTTTCGTCTTCTTACAACAAAACATTAATTTCTGGTAAACTTGCTTTAAAGTGACAGAACGAATATTCGCGTCCACTTGAACTGTAAGTCATAATTCACTCTTATCTGCATTTGTTAATAATCGGTACATACCTTTGGTACATACGTACAGAAACCTGGGCGAACTAGTTGAAAAATAATTAGTAGTACCTAATTGTAATTGTACAAAACAAGTAATTTAAAGGTTTTAAGTTTTTTTAGTTAAATGGTTCTTATTGACTCACTGGTTGTTTTGGCTACCTACATGCATTTACAGCGCTGCAGATAAAACCAGCACCATATGGATATTTTTATTAACTTATTGCTT